AGCAATTGGGGCAAAACCTGTGTTGAATGTAGACCAATCATTGAGGATATTAAAGATCATCAAATAAGAAGTCATTAACAGTATTTTGTATTTTCCCCCTAAGCTAATCACTGTAAAAATGCAGGGTTCCACACAGTTTATTCATCTTTTCCCAGAACAAATTGATTCATTTAACTTAACACATTTAGTTGGATGGAACATAAAACAATTAAGTTGTCCAAAAAACACCTCAAAAATTGTGTTGTTTCAGCTCATTTTAACTCAACGGCCACTTTATAAGGTCCACTTTACTAGTACCAGGTTGAACCCCCTTTTTCTTTCAGAACTGCCTTAATCCTTCGTGGCATTAACTCAACAAGATACTAGAAATATTCCTCAAAGATTTTGGTCCATATTGACATGATAGCATCACACAGTTGCTGCATTTGTCGGCTGCACATTCATGATGCTAAACTCCCGTTCCACCCAATCCCAAAGGTGCTGTATAGGATTGGTGACTGTGGAGGCCATTTGAGTACAGTGAACTCATTGTCATGTTCAAGAAACTAGTCTGAGATGATTCATGCTTTATGACATATCCTGCTATGCTGCTGTAAGTTGAAGATGGGTACACTTTGGTCATAAAGGGATGGACATAGTCAGCAACAATACTCAGGTAGGCTGTGGCGTTGACATGATGCTCAATTGGTACTAATGGCCCCAAAGCGTGTCAAGAAATATCCCCCAAACTATTATACCACCACCAGCCTGAAGCATTGATACAAGGCAGGATAGATCCATGCTTTCATGTTGCAGCAGAATTCAAGACTCATCAGATCAGGCAACGTTTTTCCAGTCATCTATTGTCCAATTTTTGTGAGCCTGAGTGAATTATAGCCTCAGTTTCCTGTTCTTTGCTGGAAGGAGTGGCACCCAGTGTGGTCTTCTGCTGCTGTGGCGCATCCGCTTCAAGGTTGGATGTTTTGTGTGTTTAGAGATGCTCTTCTGCATATCTCAGTTGTAACGAGTGGTTATTTGAGTTATTGTTGCCTTTTGCACCCACAGAACTGTCGCTCACTGAATATTTTCTCTTTTTTGGACCATTCTTTGCAAACCCTAGAGATGGTTGTACGTGAAAATCCCAGTAGATAAGCAGTTTCTGAACTACTCTGGCATTTAAAGTCACCGTTTCTTCCCCATTCTGATGCTCGGTTTGAACTGCAGCAGATCGTCTTGACCATGTCTACATGCCTAAATGCATTGAGTTGCTGCCATGTGATTGGCTCATTATAAATTTGCGCTAACAAGCAGTTGGACAAGTGTACCTAATAAAGTGGCCGGTGAGAGTAAGTAGTTTGGACAAACAATAAAAATATTTATTTAAATGCTCATTTGCACTTCCTAAATAATTAGTTTCACTTTTGAAGAAGGAAAGAGGAGAAACATCTTTTTATTTTTAACTCTACGCTCATGCTTTGTGAAAATAACCTCACTCTGGAATGATCTACTGGGTCATTGGACTGTTGCATTTTTCATCATCATTTTTATTAGCCGGATCCATTTTTTTTCTTCCCTCTGCGTGAGATCTCTCATTTTGCCTGCTGACTATTATTAGCGGGTTCTTTCTGGCTCTTAAACTGTTCTGCTCATTAATTTTAAGCAGATTATGTGACATCACTAAATGCCCCAATGTCTCACATCCCATTTGCTGGTGCAGTTTATGAGTATTATTTATAAGTTTATTAATATATTTTCAGTTTAAATCTTTTTTTTCTTTTTAAGTTAATCTTAGGTTAGATGGATAATAGAAGCATTGAAAATACAATATACATATAGATACATATACACACACATGGGGTGGCAAGGTGGCTCAATGGTTAGCACTGTCGTCTGACAACAAGAAGGTTGCTGGTTTGAGTCCCAGCTGGGCCATTCTGCATTTCTGTGTGGAGTTTGCATGTTCTCCTCGTGTTCGTGTGGGTTTCCTTCGAGTGCTTTAATTTCCCACACAGTCCAAAGACATGCGCTATAGGTGAATTGGGTAAACAAAATTGGCACAAAAGTGTGTGTGAATGAGTGTATGGATGTTTCCATTCACTGCAACATTATTAGATTGATGTGTCAGAAATTGTTCTAATTCTCTCTTTATGGGTGATTTACAGAGATGCTAATCTAGCCCGACAAAATGCGTTATTTCAAGTAATGATGTGTTGTGTTTCAGGCTTTAGTTTAGGATGCTTAAAAGGCAAATGCGCCCAGGACTACACCTGCAGAAACATCTTTGAACTCATGACAGTGTTGATCATGTCTTGTCTTGTTTCTTTGTGACAATTCCTGTCGTTATGAGGCCAACAAGTACAATCTCTCGCACAAGCCTGTCAGCAGGCGCGCCAGAAGAGCGAGTTTTAAACACCAATTATCTCTAAGCTCAAAGTCAACTAAACAAGCTGCACCCAGAATAGAGCATCATAGACTCTGTACAGGTGTCTGCTCTGGGTGAAAAGGATGTTACAGTGCATGCAATTGATATTTTGCAAACATTTTGGGTTTGTTTTAAATAACTTTTTTCTTCAGTCACTGTAAAAAATGCTGGATTCCACAAAATCGACAACATGAATAAACTAAGTTGTATTTTTTTTTTTTTTCAAATTTAAGTGGATTGAACATTATGCAATTAAGTTGTCAGGAATTGTGTTGTTTCACATTTTTAACATGTCTTTTTTAAGTGTTTGAAGTGCAAATAATCTATACACAGGCACAGTTGGGACTTTTATGTATATTTTGTTTAGGTTGAGCTGTAGAAAAATATATTGCATGTACAATATATTGTGGTTCATGACTGATTTTTTTCCCTTCATTTTTCCCGTAAAGATTTTTAAAAGGTCTCTTAAAGTGTTACAAGCCACAAACAAACCAAACAACTAGCTATGAGGTGAATTACAACATTGCAGACTTTGATTAGAAAGAAAAACATATTTGAACAGATCTACTGCACGCAATGGCTATAACAAGAACTACAGTCTCATGATAAATTATGAATGAGAATGACACAATTAAACATTATGGAAAAAAATATTCACTTGTTGTATTTATAGAAACATATGAAAAGGGCCGTTAACACGAATCAACACATGTAGTTCATGTACTAAAGTATAATTAACTTCTGGACAAAAATCACCATTGACTTCCAGTTCATGGTCACCATTTGCTTCCATAGCATTTTTTTGTACTATGGAAGTCAATGGTGACAACATCTTAGGTCGGACAGAAAATAGAAACAATTAAAATACAACAGTGCTCAGCGTAATTGAGTACACCCCAATTTGAAGATAGTTTGTATACATTTCTCAGTGAATATAGGTAATGTATTTTGATGCATTTGAACAAAATAGATTTATGAAACGGAAATATTTATTAAAATAATATTTAAGTCAAAACTTCTTTAGAAATTGAAAGATCAAACAATTAAATTCATGTAAAATATATATAAGAAATGCAAACTTACAAAAATTTCAACAAAATTATATTTTTTTCTATTGAATTTTGCTCTTTTTAAATTTGTGTTTAATATTTTTCTCTTACATATAAATTTGGGCTACTAAAGGACCGTTATAATAACATATTTTGTTAGATTAGCTCCAGATTTGGCTTCAGTACTGACTAATCTAATGTTAATGCAAATTATATATTGTATAGCTTAGAAAATATTCATTTAAATGAGATTTGTGAAAGGCGTACTTATATATGCTGAGCCCTGTACATAATATGGATACATATACACATAAACAAACACCCTTAAACTACACACAAGTTCAATTAGGAGGAAAGTTAAAGAAAACACAATTATACACTAAATAAGTAAATATACAATAAAATAAAATATCACATATAAAAAAATGCATACATTCAAAGAATAAAAATAAATAAATAGCATTTTTTTCTGCCATGAAAGTCAATGGTCACAATTAACTCTTTGGTCACCAAATTTTCAAAATAGCTTTGTGTTCAACAACCAAAAAAGAAACCCAGGTTTGAAAAACAGTAGAGAGGATGAGTAAATGATGGCAGCATTTTCGTTGTGAAACTACTCATTTAAGAAACATTATTACATTTTGATTTCAATCTAAATTTATTTTATGTAGACTAATTTCTGTTAAGCAATCGGCGTATTTTAGATGTTTTACCTCTGAAGTTGGCTCACGAAGCGATTAGTGAAAGCTTGGGTAAAAACACGAGAATACATCGCCTTTCTATCTAATCTTTCATTTATTTAAAAGAATAAATCTTACAAATTAATATACTGATGGTATATCAACGTTAAATAATAACAACTAAAAAACTAATTTGATCGTATGTGAACGTGTTTAGATGTTTTGCGTTTTTCTTTTAGATAAATACTGTAGTATCGGTTGGAGAGCCAGCACGCGCTCAGACACATTCGCGCGCTTTGGTGAGGGGTGGCCAGGCGCGCGTGCCAACCTTAAACAAACCCCATTCGCGCCTCACCGCTCACACCGTGAAGATGGAGCTTGTTGAACACTGCAGTTGACGCGTGAAAAGACAAAAAACAATCCGGAAAAAACATTAACAATACGTAAGAGGGATGAAAGAGTGACGAAAGCGGGAAAAAAACAAACCTAGAGGGATTCAAAAGCGATGGCTTTTTAGTTTCATCACGTTGGACTGATGTGAAATGGGTGCAGGTTTCTACTGTTCCTCAGAAAATAGTTTTCTCTCCACCTGTTTAAAACAACATCTTCATGGGATGTACGACTGGATATACGGATTTTAAACGCTTTTATTCCCCATTTTGCTTTCAGGTAATGTTACTTTTGGTGTTTGGCGTTTTTCTGTTGGAGTTAGTTACGTGTTGCGCGTGCTTGGAGGACGCTATAATTCGTCGTTTGTCATATCAGGGGAAACTCTCGCAGTTTTGGATGTTTTTTTGCAGTTCACTGTGAGGAATGAACGCGCTTTTTTGCACCTGGGACTAAGATTTCTCTGTTTTATGCTCCACACAGAATGGCTCGCTTCGGAGACGATGTTCCCGGTCTGCTGGGAGCCGGGGATGGGGGTTCGGAGCGCAGTCGGAACCGGGATGCTCCGGCGGTATCCACAGGTGGAGTTTCACCAGCCTTCAAACAGACCAAAGCGCAACGAGCCCGAACCATGGCTCTGTACAACCCCATTCCTGTCCGACAGAACTGCTTCACCGTCAACAGATCTCTCTTCATCTTTGGAGAGGACAACATCGTTAGGAAGTATGCCAAGAAGATCATAGAGTGGCCATATCCTTTTGTCTAAACGGTAAAACACGCCCTGCTCCCCCCAAAAACACACAGTAGGGGTTGACAGCACACATGTTGTCAACACGTATTTACAAACGCACAAGCAACTCCTGTGTTTATTTCTGCTGATACGAACTTCAAAATGGTCAGTGTCTCTCTACATTTTAGGGTGCTTTTACACACTGCTTTTACTTTATTTTACAGGTTGTTTGAGTTTAAGGCTTTTTTTTAATTCAAAAGACATGTTGATCATACAACAGGTGCATTCAAACCTTTTGTATATCACATGATTGTATTTATGAAGTGCATTCTTCACAACTCCACAGTTTTAGTTATTCAGAAGTACATTAACAATGCAGACAGCGACTATAAATTAAGTCATTAATTAAAGTAAACATTTATATGTTGATAAATACATTGAATAAGTTTATATTCTTTTAAAACAATAATTGTAAAAATTTTGCTCGCTCACTAATACATGAAACATTTTGCTTTCACCATTTAAGCAATAAAAAATAAATTTTTGTTGACGGTATGTAAACGTAAAAAAAAGATGTCAAGAATTTGAATATGCTATATTACATTTTAAATTATCTCTATCATTTTTATTTCTTACCAGCAATTAACAGTGATTTGCATGTGTTAATTGGTAAGATCTTCTGACAGGCAAGTGTGCATGTGCAATTTTGTTTTCCTTTACTTGATAATTGCACAAATTTAAAATGAATCTTTGTATTATATTTTTTAATAAAATCAATATAATAATAATAATAATAATTATTATTATATTAATTATTAATATAATTAAATAATTATTATATATAATTATATATATATATATATATATATATATATATATATATATATATATATATATATATATATATAATTGTGTCATACATTTTGAAATACACCTCTTGATGTGTTGCATATACACTCTTTGAACTGAATTGCCTTCAGGACCATGGACAGGGCCATTCCACTATAGGCTTTACAAATCATAGTAGAGACATACACTCACCGGTCACTTCATTAGGTACACCTTACTAGTCCCACATTGGACCTTCTTTTGTTTTCAGAACTGCATAGATTCAACAAGGTACTGGAAATACTCCTCAGAGATTTTGGTCCATATTGACATTATAGCATCACACAGTTGCTGCAGATTTGCCAGCTACACATCCATGATGCAAATCTTCCATTCCACTACATCCCAAAGGTGCTCTATTGGATTGAGATCTGGTGACTGTGGAGGCCATTTGAGTACAGTGAACTCATTTTCATGTTCCTTTTTTTTTGGACCATTTTCTTTAAACCCTAAAGATGGTTGTGCGTGAAAATCCCAGTAGATCAGTAGTTAATGAAATACTCAGACCAGCCTGTCTGGCACCAACAACCATGCCACATTCAAAGTCACTTAAATCATCATTTTCCCCATTCTGATGCTCTGTTTGAACTGCAGCAGACTGCCTTGACCATGTCTACATGCCTAAATGAATTGAGTTGCTGCCATGTGATCGACTGAATAAAAATTTGCGTTAACGAGCAGTTGGACAGGTGTACCTAATAAAGTGGCCGGTGAGTGTATATATATATAGATGCTGTATCTTTCATATTATAATGTTGCTTTTTTGTGAGCTCTCTGTGTAATTAATACTCTGTCAAGCTGGCTCCTGATTATGAGGAACCATATAAACAATCACGGATAAGTTTATCAGGAGAGTGAGGAGGAGAGGTAAACCCAGAAACCACGTAATCCCCAGAGGAGGTGTTTGGACTCATGTCATCGATTGCCGACTTCAAAGTGCCACAGTGTGATTAAAAAAAGCCTTCTCTATGATGCAAATGTGATGAGTCAGTGACAGGAGATGATAAGGCCGTCGACCATAGCTGTCACAGGTGTGCACTACTAGAACAATTGTTGGCGTTTCATTTGCCCTTTTTTTTAATGTCACCGCACACTGTCCAGATCTGACTGTGTGGCTTAGATATTACTTAGGTTAGGCAGTGCTCTGTGACTAACTGTAAAGAATCAGTAAAGGCCTTGCTGTGAGAGTGATTTAAAGCATTGTAGTTTTTATGTTGTAAGGTCATTTAAGGAGATCATTTGAAAGCCTTTGTTAGGTAGAGCATACTATGTGCAGGTTGGATTGGATGAAACAGGTATAATTTGACTCAAATCCATCTATTGTTGTTTGCTAAATATGTAATTTAATAGTAATAAATAGTTATTTACAAAAACTTGGCAGCCTTTGCAATAGGAATGTGATTTCTTTTTTTTTAAATGGGTGCTGCTGTACATAAATAGATAATTGTAACAACTGGGGGGAGTGACACTCACAACAGAAGGTAAGATCCAATATGCAGGTTTATTCAGCGTCAGGCAAGCAGTGGTCAAATCAGGTACAAACCAAATCAGGGTATGTGTAGGCAAATCCAGAATCGTATTAACAGGCAACAGGTCAAAAGGCAGGCGGCTAAACAGGAGAAAAGTGAATACAAAGCTAGGGTCTAACTCGGAGAAACAAGACAGGGAAACGCGTTGTAAAGTCACACTAGGGTAAACAAGACTCGGCAAACTGGAAGGGTGAAAGAGTGGCTTATGAATGGTGTGATATCAGTCTGTGACAAGGTTCAGCTGGTGATTGCAATCAGGATAGATAAATGACCAGGCGTGCGTGTTTGGAAGAAGTGCATGTATGAATGTGTAGTCCTGGGGAATGCGGAAATGTAGTCCTAAGAGTTCGTGTGAGAACCAGCGATCTCTGGAAAGCGATCGCTGGTTGTGTGACAATAATGGAGGAAAATGGCTGTGGTGTTCATTTTTGGCAAAACCTGCGAAGTGTACTCTGTTGGAATATGTGGAAGTTTCACCTGCTTAACATACTGGGTTGTTTTCATCCATCTCTGGGTCAACATAGACAAACCCAACAGTTTGGTTGAAAAATGACATTTAAATTTAATTTGAAAAATTATCATTGGGTTTGGGGCGGTGCAGTGGGTAGCGCTGTTGCCTCACAGCAAGAGGGTCGCTTTTCAAGCTTCAGCTGGGTCAGTTGGCATTTCTGTATGGAGTTTGTATGTTCTTCCCATGTTCGCGTGGGTTTCCTCCAGGTGCTTTATTTTCCTCCACAAGTCCAAAGACATGCTCTATAGGTAAATTGGGTAAGCTAAATTGTCCATAGTGTATGTGTGTGAATAAGTGTGTATGGGTGTTTCCCAGTGATGGGTTGCAGCTGGAAGGGCATCTGCTGTGTCAAACATATACTAGATAAGTTGGCGGTTTATTCCACTGTGGCAAACCATGGTTAATTAAGGAACTAAGCCGAAAAGAAAATGAATGAATGAACATTGGGTTTGTCCATATTTGACCCAAATTTGGGTTAATACAATCCAGCATGTTTATTTGAAGAGCTCTGAATTGGTAAAAATGAATAGATGAGGCAGAATAACGTGTTTTCGGTAATCTCGCAGATTTTTGCAGAGAAACGCTTATAAGCATATGCTTGTGCAATAGGAAAGTGATTTCTTTTTTGAAATAAGTGCTACTGTACCTAAATAGATAATGAAGGAAAATAGCTGTGGCATTCATTTTTGCCAAAACTTGCCATGTCTACTGTCTGCCAAAATTTGTGGAAATTCCATCTGCATATCTTTAAGTATGCTCTAAATCAGGGGTGCCCAAACCTTTTCTCATGAAGGGTCAAAAACCAAACTCGACTGAGGCTAACAGATCAAAGGTAAATTTAGTTATAGGTAATTTCCTAATTTATTTAATAATGTTTAAAAAAGAATAGAAATCATTGCTTATATTAACTAATGCAGTTTTTTTATTTAATTATGAACTTATTACATTAAAAACAAAACATTCTCATTTATAACAGAATTACAATAGTTTTTGCCTTGATTTGCTTGCAGATGTTTTCTGCATCCTCTATCCATTAAGGTGACAGTATTTATATTTTAAAAAATCTGATTCATTTACAACAATTAATTGAAGTATTTAATTTCGGTTTGCTTGTAGCTCAGCAATAAAGCAAACAAAAAAGGTTATGTTAAATTAGAATTGATAATTTCTGTGTTAAAGGCGTTTGCCCCAACCCTCTCCATCAAACTCACTTCTCCTCTCAGAAGGGATGGTGGGCCAAATCAAAGGTTACAATGGGCCAACTTTGGCTTGTGAGCCCTACTTTGGGCATCACTGCTCTAAATAATGCTGGCTTGTTTTCAGCAATTTCTGGGTCAAACATGGAAAAACTCAACTGTTAGGTCAAAAAAATCCCCTTTAAATTTATTTTAAAAAATTAACATAGGTTTTGTCCATATTTGACCCAAATTGGGCTTAATGTAATCCAGTATTTCCATTCATGATTAGTAAAGTGGATAGATGAGGCAGAAATGCGTATAGGAATATGTTATGTAATGTAACAGCCAGACATGTTGTTATGAGTATTATTTGTTTATTTATGTTTTATAAAGCTCTATTTCTGTGACATTTGATGTTAAATTTGATACCAGCTAAGCAGCATATTGTCAGGCATCTAAAAAAACATCTAAATGCCAAATGAGTATGCATGCTAAAAAGAGAAACTTCTCACACTATGCGGGCGAGGGCTGCAGAGTGTGAACCAATCTGAGGATAACGCGGAGGTGTCATTTCCAAAGAAGAGAGACTTTTGATAACACGTAAGCGCATGTGTTTCCCTGCTCTCAGTTGACTTCAATCCTTTACTTGTGTTGAATGTCATTCCTGTTGTTTTCAATGACACCAAGGAGGGAAGAAATTGGAGTGGCCACATGCTGTGATCATGTAACAAAAAAGGTTTAGAGGTTTGCTTGTTGTAAGACGTGCTGCATGTTACGAGCTGTTCAGCAGCTTAATGATGAAAGAAAGAGAGCGATTGAGGGCGGTGATATCATGGAAATGTGCTTGTCTGCGTTGATTGATATCCTTTTGTGCGTTCTCTCTTTTATTCGCGGCAGCGTGACTCAGTATGCAT